AAACAATTAGAGTACATAATTGTTCTTCATGATAATTATGTATTTATTATCATCAAAACTATGAGTTAGATGTAGAACCAAATTATGTTCTAACAACAACTCCTTGCACAAAAGATCTTTTCTTGCATATTACTTGTCTCTTCAATGGACTATAAATCTAGCTAATCTCACATTCATTCCACATTCAATTTGTAAGAGAATGACTTCCACATTCTATATATGCTCGTTATTAGTTTTACAAATAATAGAAGAGACTGCAGTTCACATGTTTATGGGGCTGAATTGCAGGACTAAAAAGAGTTTAGAAGTTAAGCCCATCAAATGTTTCTAACCACTTGGTTTTACATTTTGAGGAAAATTTCAATACCGATAATAATTGCTCTTGATTGAGGAAACCATTCCTAGCTTTGTTGATGGACCGAACAATGCTTTCTAGTATTTCCAATAAAGAGGAGGTGAGGAATGTCATTTTTATCATGAACATTGATGGAGCTCCAAGTTCAGATGGGTTTGGTGCTTATTGAAGGAAAGAATGTCACTAATGGCATTTGTCTTGCTTTTGAGGCTGTTGATATGCTTTATCCTGGATCTTTTGGAGGAAATATTTTCATAAAAGTTGACACTAGATTGGCAAGTGTTACTATTGATCGGGGATTCTTAATTCAAGTTTTGCAGTTTTTTGAATTTTGCTTCAAATTATATAATTGGATTAAAGTGATCCATAAATAAAACTTCATGTTTCTTTTCTTGCTTGAGGTATTAGTAGAGCAAATACTAATCTAGATGAAATTCATACATTATGTGCTAGGTTTACAATACATCTAAGTAACTATATATAAAATTGAAATTCATCTCAAATTCATATAAATATTTGACAAGGATTTAAGACAAAATTTCCAAAAAATAAAATAAAATAAAATAAATAACTTGTGTATTTTGTGAAAACTCATTTTAAAGACTCTTCATAATTGAAATTTGTTTCAAATCCGCCTAAATATTTCACACAAATTTAAGACAGAATTTTAAAAAATAATATTAAAACTAATAACAATTTTATATTATGTCTAAATTTAATCTCTTCAATTTTATACTAAAGGCTCTTCATATTTAGTCCAATTGTTTTGTCTTTAACAATGTTATCTTTATATATTATATTTAACTTTTATTAGCCTATTTGTTTAGTAAATTTATTTTATTTTTTGTTGTATTTTTATTTTTATTTTTTTAATTTTTATTTTAATATTGAAGTTATATATATTTTATTTTAACATATTTATTTTAGTGTTGAAATTTACATTTTTATTTTTGAAAATTATCATCTTAATAAATTGCATTCCAATAAATAAAATGTAAATGTTTGTGTCACAATTTTTGCGGATTTATAGTTCTAGTTATGTTTTATTATATTTTACAATATTTTATTATAACTTAAATGTTATATATATATATATATATATATATATATATATATATATATATATATATATATATATATATATATATATATATATATATATATATATATATATATATATATATATATATAAATTTTAGTTTATCATAGCGGTCATCTCAAAAAATTTGTTCTGACTCCGCCACTGATTATTGGTATGGTGTAATTGGTGAAAAGTTTCATCTAAAGTATGTTTATCTATAGCTTTACTATTTATATTTGGTTAGTTTCTCTTCTGAAACAAGTTAACCAGTGGATTAGAAATTTCATTTGGACTGAGAACATCAATAAGAGAAGGTAGTCTTCGTGGCTTGGAAGAAAGTATGCATTTCTTTAAAATAAGGCACCCCCAATCTTATATCCTTGAGGAAAACTAATGAAGTCGCCTCTCTTAAGTTGACTTGGGATTTGGTGACATTTGATCATCATTAGGCCACCTTATTCAAGGTTAAGGATCTCAGGTTTCGTGTGGTCTTAAGATGATTATGGTTTAGCTAAAGGAAAATGGTTTTTGACATATTAGCAAAAGTGATAAGGTGAATTTATTTTGTGATTATTGGAAAGAGGACTCCTTGGTTGCTAAGTTACATATCCATTTAATTCGCAGTCACTATTTTACTACTAAGGTTAGTGGTTTTATTCAAATGACAAATGGATTATTCTTCACACTATCCACCATGAGGTAGTTGACTTTAATCACCTTGGAGTATGATCCCACGCCAAAGGTTATCCCTAGGGTTACGTGGCCCCTCGCTTGCACCTGTTCGCCTGACATTCCTACTAACAAACCCTGGAATAGTTGGGTGTTGTTAGGATCTAGCTAGAGTTTTTGGAAAGTGCTCAAGAATAGGAAGTCAGCTAAGCTTATGGGATCTATTAAGACTCACTTGATATCTCAGTTGACGTGTTGCACATTGATGATCATGGGGTCATTATTGTGAGGGAGGATTTCGACGATGTTACTGCTAGAAAAAATGATGTTAGCCCCTGGTTCTCTCTAGTGGGTATTAGAGAATCATCCGTCAGCACCTGCCTGGCATATTTTCTCTAAGAGGAGTTGAAGCTTCCTTCGCAGATGAAACCTCTAGCTATGATGTTAACCATGGATCATGAGACTTTGTTGGAAACCTTCAAAGGACGGTGGTGAAAATGGTGATGATGAAGGTATGACCCAAGTTAGTTTTATCAGTGCCTCATGATGGGCGTTATTGTACTTGTCAAGTAGTACATATTGTATGGTATCCCTATGCAGGTAGAGATGACCAGAGGTCTTAGTATTTTTTGGTGGTGTAGGGCTTGCTCATGGTGGAGAGTAATCCTGTTAAATGGTGTTTTTGGCTATGTAGAGAGTGGGCTCACGTGAGGTGAAAAACTTTGTGTTTATGGAATATTTTGAGTATGTTATGATTTGTCTTTCCTGTGTTATGGGTGAGGTATTGATAAGCTCTGAGGCCTGGCGTTAGGGTTTCCTTGGGAACGATAAATGTCTGCTCAGTCAATGGTGGACCGTTAAATCCCTATTTACTAGGGAGATATGGATTAACTTGTTAACCCCGACTTCTCTCTGAAAAATGAACTTTTCCCATCTTTCTTACGACTTGGCAGGTAGTGGGATTTTAAGGCGAGATAATCCCTAGTTGTGGGCGGTAGGTGGGAGCCGCCTCTCATGGATGGTTGCAATCCTCCCGTTATTACTAATCCTTTTACAAATATATCACTACAAAGACAATGCGGAAAAAGGGATTGCATAATTAAGTTCATTCATGCCTTCATCAAATCAACTAGAAGATATTTTTACAAAACCTCTTCTTAAAGATAATTTATTTTTCCTAAGAATTGAGTTAGGAATATTGAACTATTCATGCATGGATTAAATATGCTAATTATGTCTTTTCCTTCTTTTTCTTCTCTTTCTCAAAATGACTTATGTAATCTGTGTTCTTTGTGCTTTACCTGCCTTTTTGATAATGCAAAAGAGAGATAATTATACTCTGACAGGGATTAGATTATACTCTCTTTATCAAATCTCACCGGTTAGAAAAGACAATTTCCAACTAAAGTGAAAATACATGTTAAATCAACCAAGGGAGCTTGAAGCTCCAAAGTTGTGAAAGAGAGGAAGTGGGAAAGCTCACTTGGTTTTATGCTTAGCGCGTGCTAAGTAACTATTTTAATGTAAAAGGTATAATAGCAATTCTTGAGATACTAAGGCACCTCATACACACACACACATAAAGTATTTTCAAAGCCTCTCTTGTTTTATAAAACTCTTAAAAATATTTTTATATGCATCCTTACACTAGTTAACCAATTAAGGGGTCTTTCTACACTAGTTAACCGTTCACCAGATTAAGGCTACTCGATTAATTCATTTTAATGCCTTCAATTTATTAGAGAAGATTTTAATCAGTTAATGACAGTGGAGTTTAAAAGTTTCCATGTTTATCTTATCTAATTGATTACCAACTAGGGTTAATCGATTAAAACATTAAAATACTCATAAATTATTTCTTTTTTGAATTAAATATTTTCCTATACAAAGAAGGTTTCTTCTCATTTTCCTTTTGCACCGTAATACAAATTTGAATTCTTTCTTTCTCAAATTCTACTTTCTTCTTCTACATTTCTATACTTTCACTAAAATTGCCTTAGTACCAAGAAAGTGAAAAATACTTGTGAGAATTTTTGGTTGTATTGGTGTTGTGTTGATTTTTTCTTATTTAAAAGTGAGATTCTCTTGATCAATATCTCGATTTGGTTCAAATCTTAACCTATTAAAAGCTCTATTTGGTTTGGAGACTAGTCTCTGTAAAATCTCTTGTTTGTTGTAAGAAGGTTTAGTGAAACTCTCAAGAGGAAACTCTTGAGAACAAAAGTAGGCCAAATGGTAGGCCTAACATGTATAAATATCTAGTGCAATCTCTCTAACTTTATCTCCTTATTTTCGTGCCATTTATTTTTTCTCCTATCTAATTATTTCTTCTAACTTCTTTACTGCTTTATCTTTGTTGGACTAATATAAAATAATTTCTGAATAAAATATTTAAAAATATTTTTTATTTCTGAATATCACAATTCATTTCCTATTGTATTTGAAGTCACTTGATCAACATTCATTATTCATTTCTAAGCATTTGACTTCTATGGTGTTAGCATTTTTCACACTTCCGAACATTGATAACAAAGAGAAACAAAACAATGTTTCACTTTTGCAAAGTCTGTGTTTGATTTTTATTTATAAGGTTTCGTTAATTATTGATAGACTTGTTTATTTAAGGAATGATTCATGAAATAATATAAGGTTTAGATTGAACAGAGACAAGTGTTATATAAGTATATAAGAAATAGATTATCATGAGTCTGTTGTAATCTAGTTGGTCAGGATACTCGGCTCTCACCCGAAAGACTCGGGTTCAAGTCCTGGGATAAATGACCAACATGGTTAAAATATGATCTACCAATTTTATTGAGTTTCCAATATACTTTATGTAAATAAAAATGTTATAATGTTGAACAAAATTCCTAACCCTAACCCTAAATGCTCCACTTAGTTTGTGCACAGTTTCCGCAATCCCAAACATTTCTTCTTTCCTAATCTCTCTCTCTCTGATGAAACCAACACAACTTGAGTTCCGCACAATTCATCATATATCCTCTCGAACTCTTCCAACACTTCCCCAATTATTCCCATCTTCTTCTTCTTCGTCAACATCTTCACCAACCCAACCACATGCCGCTCAAAATTCCCCTGCTCCACTACCTTTCTCACTGTTGAACCATCGATAATACCATCATCTGATTCAAGTTTCAATAGTCGTTGAACATCCCTTTGAACTGAGTGAAGTGTATTGGTGATTTGAGCTACATCTATAATTGCACCAGCATATCCAGTAACAGGCTTGTCATGGAATATTGGAGAGGGTTGTTTGAGTTTGAGAGATGTGGTGTTTGGAGAAGAGAATTGCATAGAATAATTGTTGTGTGAGAAATTTATGATTATTTGGGGTTTTTGATTATGGAAGATGATTAGGGATTGGATGAGGAGTTCTTGTGAAGTGATGGAATTCATGATTTGGTGTTGGTGCTGGTAGAGGGAGTGATGAGATTTTGAGATTTGAAACTGATAAAGTTTCTGTTAGAACATAGTTTGATTCTACAACCCTTGGTTAGAGTTTTGATGATAACAAATATAAAGAATAAATAGATACAAATAATATATATACAAAGAACAATGCTCCTTAAAAATATGTTTTGTATATGTAGAAGTTCTGATCAGATCAGCATCAGAAGATAAGCCATAAAGTATTATACGCTGAAGATTGGTGACCAGAACCTGCGCTTAATTACAACAAACTCTGATTCTGAAAAAAGACATATCAACCAAGTCATCAATATTCTGAAGCGTCATCAGCAGTTAAGGAAAGAAGACTCTGGAGCGTTACTGAACATTCAAGACAGAATTAATTCTAACGGATTTCTTCAGACAAGATCTTCTCCAAAAGGAAAGTGTGTTAATAACATTAAACTTGCTTTATGGACAACGTCATTATTTTGTCTACATAAACAAGTCAGCTTGCAAAAAGAAGCACGTACGTACACACAGTAATTTTCTAAAATCACCAACCACGCATACTCAAGCTCTAGCAAATTCATTCTTTATTCTAAGCTTAACCTGTGTAATTTATCACAGTTGTGATAAACTGTTTTGTTAGAAAACAACAACACATTTTGTTTTAATCACATTGTAAAATATTTCCTTGAGATTAACCGGATTGTGGTTGTACTCAAGAAGACTTTAACAATTGTTAAAGTAGCTTTGTAATCTTGTTGATATTAGTGGATTAATACCTCGTTGGAGAGAGGCGAAATCACCTTGACGGGTGGACTGGAGTAGTTTGAGATCAAACGAACCAGGATAAAAATACTGTGTCATTAAGCTGTTTTTGATCCAAGTTTTCAATTCAACCCCCCTTCTTGTGTTTTTCACATCTTCAACTGGCATCAGAGCGCCTGGTTCTGAGCTTAAACACTTAACCGTGTTAGTACAAGATCCAAGCATCAGAAAAACACTATGGTGGGATCAAGCTAAAACATCAGCAATGACAACAATGAAGACAAAGACAGATTCAGTGGTAAACCTCCAGTCTTTGATGGAGAAAACTTTGACTACTGGAAAGACAGAATTGGGAGTTTCTTTCTGGCCCATGATGCTGATCTATGGGACATGGTAACTGATGGATACACGCATCCAGTGGATGGAAGTGGTCAGAAGATAGACAGGAAAATGATGTCTGGTCAGCAAAAGCGTGAATTCAGAAACCACCACAAGGCCAGAACAATTCTCCTCAGCGCCATCTCATATTCAGAATATGAGAAAATATCAAATAGAGAAACTGCCAAGAATATGTTTGACTCTCTTAGAATGACGCATGAAGGCAACATTCAAGTCAAAGAAACCAAGGCCCTTGCGCTCATTCAGAAGTATGAGGCATTCAAGATGGAAGATAGTGAATCAATAGAAACTATGTTTTCAAGATTTCAAATTCTTGTTGCTGGACTAAAAGTTCTTGACAAAGGGTATTCTACTGCTGATCACGTTAAGAAGATCATCAGAAGCTTGCCCAAGCAATGGAGGCCAATGGTCACAGCACTTAATCTAGCCAAAGATCTCAACAAAATCTCTCTGGAGGAACTTGTTAGCTCCCTCGTAAGTCATGAAATAGAGCTAGAAGAAGATGAACCTCAAAAGCAAGGTAAGCCACTAGCTTTAAAATCTAACAGAAAATCTGACTCTAAAGTTTTGCAGGCTGTGGAGGAAACCTGTGATGGATCCTCATCAGAAGAAGATGAATTGTCTCTCCTCTCCAGAAGGGTGAACCAACTATGGAAGCAGAGACAAAGGAAGTTCAGAAATCCCAAAAGATCAGAAAATCAGAATGAATCCTCATCCAGATATAGAAGGTCAGAATCCTCTTCTGGACACAGAAGATCTGAAGGTTCTTCAGGATACAGAAAGCCAAACAACAAAGACATCATCTGCTATGAATGTAACGAGCAAGGGCACTACAAAAGTGACTGCCCAAAGCTTCATAAGGAGAAGCCCAAAAAGAAGTTTATCAAGGAAAAGAAGAAAAGTCTCATGGCTACATGGGATAATTCTGACACATCTGAAGCTGACTCAGAATCAGATGATGAAAGAGAAAACATAGCTCTCATGGCAAACGTATTAGAAGACAGTGAAGCTTCTGGTTCAGAATCAGAATCAGACACTAAAGAGGTATTCCCTGAATTTACTATAAACTTTACTAAGGATGAACTTGCTGAAAGCCTAAATGAAATTCTGGAAAGGTATCAGCAGATTAGAGTCAAATTCAGAAACCTGAAAAGGAATCTTGCTTCTGACTCTGATAAGACTGAGAGTCTCAGATTAGAGAATTCTGAGTTAAGAGAAAAAGTTTCAAAATTAGAAAACCAATTGCAAAACTCTCAGAAGGAAACAATCCCTGAAACTCCTAGCAATGCTGATGAGATCATCAAAGAGTATGATCACAACTTTCAGAAGTTTCTAGCTAAAAACATAGACAAAAGCAAAATGGCTTCAATAATCTATGGAGTTAGCAGAAATGGCAGGAAAGGGATAGGATATCAAGGTAAGGTACCTACACCAAAAAATGCCATGGACTTAGTTATAAAATGTACGCCACTCAATTCACATTTCATATATGGGCACACACATGTCATAAAATACACAAGTAGTGATTATTTTGTCAAACCAAAATTCAACCAGAATTTTGGTAAAACTAACAAATCAGGACCCAAGAAAATGTGGGTACCTAAGGATAAAATCATACATATGGCAGATATCTTTAGCAGCAAAGCAAAGACACCAATCATGGTACCTGGACTCTGGCTACTCACGACACATGACGGGAAGAAGGCATATGTTCCAAATCCTAGAACTTAAGCCTGGAGGCCACGTGGGCTATGGAGGCAATCAGAGAGGAAAGATCATTGGCTCTAGAACAGTAGGTAATGGAAATATTCCCTCTATAAGTAATGTTTTATTAGTTGATGGATTAATGCATAACCTGTTATCCATAAGTCAATTAAGTGATAATGGTTATGATATAATCTTCAATCAAAATTCATGCAAAGCTGTTAGTCAGAAAGATGGGACTATCCTATTTAATGGAAAGAGGAAAAACAACATTTATAAAATCAAACTTTTTGAACTAAAAAGTCAGAATGTAAAATGTCTACTGTCTGTTAACAATGAGCAATGGATCTGACACAGAATATTGGGACATGTTAGTATGAGAAGAATATCTCAGATTAACAAACTCAATCTGGTCAGAGGACTTCCTAACTTGAAGTTCAATTCAAATGCTCTGTGTGAAGCATGTCAGAAAGGCAAGTTTGCAAAACCTGCTTTCAAATCCAAAAATGTTGTTTCCACCTCTAAGCCATTAGAACTTATGCACATTGTGATCGGTGGATCTGGAACTGACTGTTTAAAGCTGGTTTCGCGAAATGTCGCGGTAAGCAAGAGTCGCCACCGTCTTTTATTTTCTCCAAATGGAAAGGACAAAAGCACAGAAAAATTCCTTAAAGAGATTGCTCTCGGTTCGGGAGGTAGATTATAGAAAGGGAAGGTGTTAGCACCCTTTCTATCCATGGTTATCCATGGGCTCTTAGATACTTGCTCATTTGTGTTTTCAAAAATGTTTTGTTTGCTTTTCAATTGTGGGTTTTAAAAAAGTTTCTTTGAAAATTCCAGTTCGACTCTTGTATCAGTCCTCAAGAGTGTTTGAAAAATTGCTTTCGAAAGCTTTTTTGAAAATGTGTTGGTGTGAAAAGTATTTTGTTTTGTTTTGAAATTTAGAGCAAGTATCTAGAGTCGTCTACCTACCCTAAGGAATTCGTCTGTGTAAATGTCCTTTAAAGTAGTGCCATCCCACCATTGAGAGGTAGGTAGCACCACCGTTGGAGGTGTTCGGGTCAATTCGAGGTTCGGGATATGGTGATCACCAGAGCAATGGGAAGACACCTTAGAAGCTACCCTCATGCCAGGTTCCTGGATCATGAGGACTTACTAAGACATCCTCTACTCGACGATCACCTTTCGAGGCAAGGCAACAGTGAGGCGTACCCTAGGGGTGGTGTGTGATTTGTGTGTCATTTTCAGTTTATTATTTGTCTTGTCATGCATTGGTGATCTACGTTTTGATTTTATTATTTTTTTTGGGCATTCATTCTTTCATGTGATTGTTTAACAGTTAAAGGTGCGGGAATTTAAAGTGCGGAAAAGATAAAGGTCCTACGCTATTACAAAGGCGCGGGTCTACATCGCCAAATTAATACAAAACCCGATTTAAAATAAAATGCAGAAAATAAATGCCTAATTAACTATTACAGGGCTTTGGGGCAAATACATTACATTCACAAAAAAGAAATAAAATGAAATGCGCGAAAAGAAAATATAATCGAACGTGAGGGCGTTGGACCCTTTAAAGAAGTTAAAATGAATTTATTAATTAATTAAGTTAAATAAAGGAAATGACTTATTTTTTATGTTTTTTGGATTTGTGGATTTAAAGAAAATTAAAAAAAAGTCAAATAATTCTAGTTCTAATTGTTTTTTAATTTATTAAAGAAAAATTACCTAAGTTAAAACTAATTTAAACATAATTGATTAATTACAAGTATTTATGAAATTAATTAATGGTTAAAAATAATTATAATAAGAAAATAAAATATTTATTTAAAAAGATGAAAATGTGCTAAAGACTTATTTTTTTTATATTTTTTAGTTATTAAAAAAAAGCATTAAAGTTAATAACCTAAAATCAAAACTAAATTAATTATTGAATTTTATTTACAAAAATGGAACTATTAATTGATTAAATAAAATATTTTTATACCTCTTTTATGATTTCCTGATTTTTTGGTTTTTTATATTAAGAAATA